ATCGACATCTACGCCAGAGAAAGTGCAGGAAGTGAAGCGGAGGAAGCAGGATGAGGGGATGGTTGTGGATGGAGCTGAGTACACATCTAAGGCGGCCTCCGGAGAGGAGGACCGCCGAGCCCAATGAGGACTATGTGCTGGAACTGTCGAGGAATTGGCGACCCTACAACAGTTCATGAGCTCCGCGATCTTGTGGAGGCTAGTGCGCCGTCGGTGCTATGCATTGTTGAAACTCAACTGGCAAAGTACCGAGTGGAAGGTTTGGCGAGTAGGTTAGGTTTCAGCAGTAGTTTTGGAGTAGGTAGTAGTGGAAGAAGTGGGGGTTTGTGCTTGTATTGGAAGAATAATATCAATCTCGGAATAAAAACATTTTCTCAGTATCATATTGACTCGGTGATTTCCCAACCTAGGGAGGAACCTTGGTGTTTATCTTGCTTTTATGGAGCTGCAAACAGGAGCTTGAGGTACAAAACTTGGGATACGATGAAGATCCTGAGAGGTGAGAGCACGATGCCTTGGGTGTGCATGGGGGATTTCAATGAGATACTTCGGCCAGAGGAACAAATGGGACCAAATGAACGGGACAGTGCACAAATTGCAGGTTTTCGAGAAGCTGTTGATGTTTGCTGGGGTATAAGGGATTGGATTGGACCTTCGAAAAGAGAGTGGTGGGGGGAGAGTTCTGCCACGTACGACTGGACAGAGCCCTAGCTACTCCCAGCTGGTCGGCTTTGTTTCCTTTTGCTTCAGTTGAACACCTCACCGCTGCAAAGTCTGACCACCGCCCGATCGTCTTTTCAAATGAGTTGGAAGATAGTAGCTTGAGACACTCACTGAAGAAACCTTTCCGCTACGAGTGCGCATGGGAAACTGACGATAGGTTCGGTGAGGCTCTGGGACAAGCATGGGAGGCTGCACTCCTAGCAAACACAGTAGGCGAGCTGGCGCACAAGCTGAACAACGTTGCAGCAAGCTTAAAGCGATGGAGCAGACAAACATTCGGCTCTGTCCGGCAGGAGCTGAGAGATCTGAGGCAGTAGCTGGCAGGATATCGAGCTGATCCGTTGAGGGTTGGCCCCGGTCCTGAGGAGAAACGGGTGCAGGACAGGATCGTCGAGTTGTCCTTTCGAGAAGAGGTGATGATGAGGTAGCGTGCACGAGTGCAACGGCTATCAGAAGGAGACGCAAATACAAAGTATTTCCAGAAGAAGGCGAGTGCACGGAAAGCAAAGAATAAGATCAGTAATTTGGTGCGCGGCGATGGAACTACCTACTCGGATCCACAAGAATTGGCGGATATGACGAGTGCCTTTTATGAGAATTTGTATACCTCAGAGGGCTCTATTGGGATCGAGGAGGTGCTGTCCCATATACCACGAAGAGTCGATGCAACAATGAACGCCCGTCTAATGCGAGGTACAATAGAGATGAGGTAAAAGAGGCATTATTCCAGATGTTTCCCACAAAGGCTCCCGGCCCAGATGGCTTTCCAGCACACATTTTTCAGCGGCATTGGGATCTTTGTGGCGAGATGACAGGTATGGTAATAAGACTACTTGAAGGAGATGATTCACCGGAGGATATCAACAACACATTCATCGTTTTGATTCCCAAGATTGCAAGTCCAAAAATATTAGGACAATTTCGGCCGATAAGCCTTTGTAATGTGATCTACAAGATCGCTTCCAAGGTTTTAGCTAACAGGCTGAAGATAATCCTTCCGGATGTGATCTCAGAAGAGCAGTCAGCTTTCGTCCCTGGACGTCTGATTACAGACAATTTTATTACAGCTTATGAATGCCTGCATTACATGAAAACGAGAAGGGTGAAGGGCAATCGCTTTTGTGCACTGAAGCTTGACATGATGAAGGCCTATGACAGGCTTGAGTGGCCGTATCTCAAAGCGGTGATGCTAAAAATGGGTGTCAGCCCGAGGTTTACTGAAACCATCATGAGGTGTGTATCTTCGGTTTCTTTCTCAGTTCTCTTTAACGGTGGAATTCTGGATGCTTTCAGGCCATCACAGGGTTTGCGACAAGGGGACCCTATCTCCCCTTATTTATTTCTGGTGGCGGCTGAGGGCCTCTCTTGCTTACTGAAAGCTCAAGAAGAAGGGATTAGAGGAGTTTCTGTCGCGGCCACAGCGCCAGCGGTAAATCACCTCCTCTTTGCGGATGACAGTTTGCTCTTCTTTGAGGCAACAACGGAGAGTGCAGTTAAAGTCCGAGAGTTGTTGAAGAAATATTGTGATGCGTCAGGACAACGTATCAACACAGACAAATCATCCATATACTTCAGCAAAGGTGTACCAGATACATTGAGGAATGAGGTGAAAGGATTGCTTGATGTGCATAATGAATCGTTGTCGGAGAAATATTTTGGGCTACCAACTGATGTTGGTAGTTCAAAGGAGGGGTGCTTTCGGTACCTAAAGGATGGAATATGGAAGCAGGTACAAGGATGGATGGAAAAGTGCTTATCAGCTGGAGGGAAGGAAGTTCTAATAAAATCGGTGGCACAATCCATACCAACATACTCCATGGCTTGTTTCAAATTGCCAAGAGGTTCGTGTGAGCATATTAATGGTCTACTCAGGAAGTTTTGGTGGGGCAGCAAAAGAGGAGAAAGGAAAACGGCTTGGGTGTCTTGGAATACTATGTGCAAGCCTAAATTCATGGGAGGAATGGGTTTTAGAGATATTGAACTTTTTAATCTAGCTTTGCTGGCCTGACAAGCTTGGCGCCTTCTACAGGAACCCGATTCTCTAAGCGCGAGGGTGCTCAAGGCACGTTACTACCCACAATGCAGCATCCTTGAGGTTTGGCGCTCTATTATGGAGGGTAAGGAGATCCTAGCACTCGGAATTATCAAAAGAGTGGGGACAGGTGCGGATACTGACATCTGGAGCGATAACTGGATACCACGTGACTATAAGCTGCGGCCTTTGTGTGCCTTGAGGGCTGATCCACCGCAACAGGTCTCGGAGTTGATTGACTCGGTCACGAGGACGTGGAACAAGCAGATGCTCGTTGAACATTTTGTCGGCCCTGATGTGGATGCTATTCTGAATATCCCGTTGAGCTCAAGGCTGCAAGATGACTTTTATGTGTGGCACTATGACAAGCAAGGCATCTTCTCGGTCAAATCAGTGTCAGGATGTTAACGGGTATAAAGTATCAGCGGGAGGATTGGATAGAGTATGGCACAAGCACATCCGATCAGGCCTCGGCCAAAAGGGATTGGTCCCACCTCTGGAAGGCGAGGGTGCCTTCGTAGGTCAGGGTTTTTTTCTGGCGCCTCGCACATACCTCATTGTCGACTGGGGTTATCCGACATCACCGAAAGATGGTAGATACAGCAGCCTGCCCTTTATGCAATGCACAGGAAGACACTTGGCACCACTCTTTGTTTGACTGCCGTATGGCCCGCTGTGTGTGGGCACTTGGTGAAGAAGAGGTACTGAAACATGTCATTTCTAATAGATCACCGGATCCCAGGCTGGGGTTATTCTGGTTGTTTGAAACATTAAATGAACAGGAGCTTGCAAAAGTCTTCATCACTATGTGGGCTATATGGTGGGCGCGAAGAAAAGCAATCCATGACAACGAATTTCAGAGCCCGCTGTCTACTTGGTGTTTTATCACGAGGTATCTTCAGGACCTAGAGATTGCAGTGAAGCGGGAAGACCCGATCGCTATGTCAGCTGTCGGGACCTGGCCTCGGAACAAAGCATGGCTTCCACTGGAGGAAGACGAAGCAAAATTCAATGTGGATGGGGGAATATCGAGGCATGGCCATGTTGGGGCAGCAGCGGTGATATGCAGAGACAAGGAAGGTCTTTTCCTGAGGGCTTCGACACTGGTTTTCGACGGTTTGAACGATGCGGTTGCTTTGGAGGCACACGCATGCAATGAAGCTCTAGCTTTGGCTACGGACCTAAATCTAACCCGCTTGCTGATTGCTTCCGATTGTCTGAAAGTAGTGAACAGGATAGAAACAACATCGGCGACACACTATGCATCGGTGTTACATGAAATATCAGAGAGGAGAAGGGATTTCCACCATGTCAAGTTCAAGTTTGAACATAGAGAAAATAATTTCGAAGCCCATGCACTGGCGAAAGCGGCATCTTCTCTTGCTGCAGGTCGCCACATTTGGCTAGGGACAGTAGCAGACATTATTTGTATTCCGATGTTGATTAATGCTTAATAACGTCCCTAGTTACCCGTTAAAAAAAATTAGTCCCCTAAAAAAAGTAACTCAATTAGTACAATAGATAATTCTAAAAGAGGACACTGTTTTTCTTTTGCAGAAAAAAGTCAGTTTCTCGTAAAAACACAATTGTTTTTTTTTTTTTTGCGGAAGAAACTTCCAATGTATTCATAATCTATCATGACATTACAGAAATCGTTTTTCTGCGACGAACTAGAAATTAAACTTTGGTAACGTGCCAGTACAGTACATCCCGAACATGTATGTCATTTGTTAAGCATTTCTCGGCTTATGTATTTAAGCTGTATGTATTGACCGTCATGCAGTAACACTGACAGTGAGAGATGGAGCACCGTTTCCGGGCGGCCTAATTATCCGGTTATGCCGTCTTGACCATCATACAGCACGTGACACCGACGGCTTCTCTTTTTTGTGTTGACACCAGACGTAACACTGAGAGTGACACGCTACTTTGCGTTTCTAGTTGGTCTTGAAGCTGACCCAGTCGGATATTACTTTTTTTTTGAGAGAGAGCACGCAAATTACATGCCTTAACTTTATAGAAGGCGGAGTGTAAATTACAAGAAATTCAGACAAGCTTGCATCACAGCCTGGTCAGACATTACGAAGTTACTGATGATCACACACACGCTGAGAAAAAGATGCATACGATTTGACCTCTCATCTTATTAACTATGACAACATGCTTGCACAATTAATTAAAAGTTTAAAACACACCGGCTTAACGGTCACTCACTCAACACTACGTTACATCGATAGAACATGTCTCACATGTCGGCGGCGATCCCCTCGTCGCCGGTGGTGGCGGTCTCGATATCCTGGACACGCCTGTTGGGGGCGGCGCAGTTGTTCCGGATCTCGCCCTTGTTGCCGGTGAGGAGGTCCATGTTGCTCATCTTGGTCATGGACCGGGCGAACTGCTCGAAGAAGGCGCCCTGGTTGAGCGAGAAGCGGGTGGCCATGCGCTTGGTGGTGGGGTGGTCGATGAGGCCCTGGTCCGACTTGAACAGGCCCTGCCTCGCGATCAGGTCGAAGTAGTACTTGTTGTCGAAGGCGTCCGGGGTGCGGACGTCGAGGTTCTGGGTCAGGGTGCCGGCGGGGTTGTCCCCAGCGCACTTGTTCCGGAGAGAGGTGGCGAACTTGGAGTCGATGGCCGGGTTGGTGTCGAACACCGGCTTGAAGCGGTCCTCGAAGGCCGGGCAGTGGGCGACGCCGAAGGTGTGCGCGCCGGAGAGGGACACCAGGTCGGCCACGTCCAGGCTGCGGTTGCTGAAGGAGGAGATGAGGGTCGGCACGTCGAAGAAGGGCGCCGGCAGGAGGCCGACGAGAGCGGACGACGCCGGGGCGAGGGCGTCGCGGCGGCCGAGGGAGACGTCGAAGCGCGGCCCGCCGGCCTCGACGAGGGAGTCGCGGGTGGCGAGCACGGTGATGTCGGCGCAGGAGACGGTGGGCCCGCAGGCGCTGTGCACGGCGGCGCGGATGCGCTCGATGAGGTCCAGCGCCACGGGGCGGAGGGTCTGGTTGGGGACCTCATTGAGCTCGCTGCCGGCGCCCTTGAGCAGCACGGACGCGTCGCAGCCCTGCGGGAAGCAGTCGTGGAAGAGGATGCGGATGAGCGCCGGCGCCACGCCCACGTCGCGGCGGAACGTCTCGGCGACGTGGAACTCCACGATGTGCTCCAGGTCCGGGCACGTCGCGGCGTGGAAGTTGGGTGAGAGCTGGCCCTCCGACGAGTGGACGGCGGCGCAGACCAAGGCCAGGACGGCGATGGCCGCTGCTGCTCTGGACGCCATCGCTGAAGCTGAGCTTCTAGCTTCTTGCAGACCTTAGCTAGTGACCTACGTCTGAGGGAGGGAGGGTCGTGTGGCTTGCACAAGATAGCCGCTAACCCCTTGCTATTTATACACCGAACGGCTAGTCACCTCCGACCGAGCTGGCTGGCTCGATCTGATCCACATGCGATGTTCAAGTCGTGGAGATTAACTAGAGAAGAGAGAAGACTAGTCGCAGAAAGAGAGAGACTAATTGCAAATTAAAGAGGGACATGCAACATGTGCAAGTTGCATGGACAAAGGTCAAGAAAATCAACTGGCCGGGTAGGGTACCTCAGCTGGATCGTGTCTCTTCCTCGAACTTTCCTCCTTGTTTCCACGTGAACTTTCACCTAACACCACAGTGACGTGCATGTTGGACACACTTAGTATATTATTATAGTATATATGCAAGGAAAAAAGCGGCATAGATTGCTCGACAGATTGCATGAATCGAGCACGTATTTGCTAATTTGGCAAGGTATAATCTACGGAGCAAGCAAGAGCATCCAGTTGGATCTAACGGATATGGAATCATTCTGAACGACACCAAGCTACGGGTTGAGCGATTGATTAGTTAATGGCGGCCACCGAAGATAATTAAGCTATATCCCGCAAAAGAAAAAGATAATTAAGCTATAGGTGTGGTTAGTTGGGGGTCAAGTGTCGTCTTATCTCTCGGACGATGCATGCAAAGCTACGTACCACATGCATGAGAAAATAAAGCCGCTGAAAGTTCGCCGCCGGCGCCGGGCACGTGCTGCACTGTACCACAACACTACTATATTAGCTACGTACGTACACTGGATCGGGTCAGTCATGGACATGGTATGGACGCGTGCTTTCCTAGCTCCTATCCAAAAAGTCATTTGCTCTTCTATCGTCGCACCTCCTTCTCCTTCATCATCATCAGCAAATAAATAAATGAATGGACGAAGACTTGTTCTTCTTTGCATGCATATGCATGTCCACTGAAAGCTACCGTTAGAGGAGCATCTATACACCTGCAGATGCGTCCGCCGGAGGTAATCGGACAGTCTGCATTTTCCCCACTCCATACCTGCATGCCCCTTATATGTCCTACCACAAATCTATACAAAACCATGCCCAGTATGTAAACTATGTAAATCAACATATGAACATAGTAATCCATCATACATATAACATATAAACATAACAATTCGACATAAATATAACATTCAAAGTTCATCACAATCCGATCCAAAAGGGTCTAACAGAGTTCATCACACAACTAACTTAATACTACTAACCTAAAATAAGAGAGGGCCATTAGATTTCACACTTCCTCGGTGGGGCGCTTCCCCTTGTGGTCTCGGGAGCGGTGGCTGTCACTAGTAGAAAAAGGGTTAAATGTGAAGCACATTAGTGCCGGTTTGAATTTGAGCCGGCACTAATGTGTCCATTAGTGCCGGTTCCAACGGCTAGGCGGGCGGACATCATTAGTACCGGTTCGTGGTGAACCTTTAGCACCGGTTCGTGCCACGAACCGGTACTAAAGTGAGTGGTGGCAGGATGTTGTCAGTCCGGGGCCCCTCCAGCATCTTTAGTACCGGCTCGTATCACGAACCGGTACTAAAGGTCGTCCTACATAGACCCTTCGTCCACCCGAGCTCGCTCTGTTCTTCCCCTTTCCCCTCTCCTCTCTGTTCTTTTCCCTCTTCCTCTCAAGCTCATCACACAGTTTGCCCAAAATCTGTCAAGATTTGAAGGCCCCCGTCCATTCAAATGATCACAAAGGTTAGCAACTTTGTCCTTTCATCTCTCATTGCTAGATTAGCTCGTGCAATGCTTTATATAGTGTTTGATTTTTGAGTTTAGTAATTTGGGAGGAATTATATATATGTGCTAGTATTTGATTTATATGCAATCTGGGGTCAAAAATAACACTTAGTTTGCATATGTAGGTGTGGCTTACTTAGTGCCTTCTAAATCTCCGTCGTAACCACCGTCGATCGCCCGCAACGTCCCGTCGCCGGCACCACCTTGTGGTGAGCCTCTTGTTCATGAAGTTTTATATAAAAAATTGATGTTTGTGTGATTTGGATATATAGTTACTCGTATAATTATCTTACCCATACGTTGTTTGTTATACATAGTGCCATGGTTTTGATATCCGTCCCCGTAGGCCCTCGTCCGGGTTATGATTCGGATGTGGTATATTCTCTTTTAAAACTATTCATTGCATTTCGTGTTTATGACAAATTATGCCCAACAAGTTGACATAGATATTTGTATGTAGGAGGTAGTTGAACTGGAAATTCCAACCGACCCTGTTGTCGAGAGGTTAAATTTAGTTGAAAGAGAAAACGAGGATTTGAAGGAAAAATTGAAAAGAATTGAGGGGGAGAAGATGGAATTGGAGTTGCATGTTGCCGATGTCGTCGATGATCACAAGATTAAGATGGAGAAAATGCGCTTGAAGATTAGAAAGATTAGAAAATATGCCATTCATAGTGAGGCTTGGTATCATTATGTTGTTGGATCAATTGTTACCTTAGTTGCGATCTTGATCTCATTTGTTGTTGCATTTAAATTCTTTAGCTAGAGAGTTATTTGTTTGTTGCATTTAAGTGTTGTATGATCTTTATGTATGAACTTTATGTATTGTATTAATTTGGTGTTTTCGGTGCTGTGTATTGAAGATGAGCCGGCAATGGATGTACGATGACCGATGCTCTTCCGAGTTCATTAATGGCGTGCGTACTTTTCTGCTTGCGGCTGAGGCAAACAAGCGGGCGAATGGTTTTATGCCTTGTCCATGTGCTGGCTGTAAAAATGGTCACAATTACTCTACGTCAAGAACCATTCATGTCCACCTGTTTGAGTCCGGTTTCATGCCCCACTATAATGTTTGGACCAAGCATGGAGAAAGAGGGGTTATGATGGAAGATAATGAAGAAGAAGAGGACGACGACAGCTATCCTAGCCATGGGTTCCCTGAATACGATGATACAACAATGAGGGAAGAAGCTGAGCCGGTAATGCGGGAAGAAGCTGAGCCGGCAATGCGGGAAGAAGCTGAAGAAGAGGCATCGGATGAGCCCGTTGATGATCTAGGTTGGGCCATTGCCGATGCAAAGAGAAATTGCGCAAGTAATTTGGAGAAGAAGAAGTTGCAGCGCATGTTAGAGGAGCACAAAAACTATTGTACCCGAATTGCGTAGGTGACAAGAAAAAATTGGGCACCACACTGGAATTGCTACAATAGAAGGCAGAGAATGGTGTATCTGATAAGGGATTTGGAAAGTTGCTGGTAATGATAAAGAATATGCTTCCAAAGGACAACGAATTGCCCGAGAGTATGTACGAAGCAAAGAAGGCTGTCTGCCCTCTAGGGTTAGAGGTGCAGAAGATACATGCATGCCCTAATGATTGCATCCTCTACTGCGGTGAGTACGAGGATTTGAACGCTTGCCCGGTATGCGGTGCATTGCGCTATAAGATCAGCCGCGATGACCCTGGTGATGTCGAGGGCGAGCGCCCCAGGAAGAAGATTCCTGCCAAGGTGATGTGGTATGCTCCTGTTGGGGAACGTAGTAATTTCAAAAAATTTCCTACGCACACGCAAGATCATGGTGATGCATAGCAATGAGAGGGGAGAGTGTGATCTACGTACCCTTGTAGACCGACAACGGAAGCGTTAGCACAACGTGGTTGATGTAGTCATACGTCTTCACGGTTCGACCGATCCAAGCACCGTTATTCCGGCACCTCCGAGTTCTTGGCACACGTTCAGCTCGATGACGAACCCCGGACTCCGATCCAGCAAAGTGTCGGGGAAGAGTTCCGTCAGCACGACGGCGTGGTGACGATCTTGATGTACTACCGTCGCAGGGCTTCGCCTAAGCATCGCTACAATATTATCGAGGGCTATGGTGGAAGGGGGCACCACACACGGCTAAGAATATGATCACGTGGATCAACTTGTGTCTCTAGGGGGTGCCCCTGCCTCCGTATATAAAGGTTCAAGGGAGGGGGGCCGGCCGGCCAGGAGAGGCGCGCCAGGAGGAGTCCTACTCCCTCTGGGAGTAGGACTCCCCCCTTTCCTAGTTGGAATAGGATTCGTGAGGTGGGAAAAGAGAGAGAGAGAAGGAGGGGGGCGCCGGCCCCCTCTCTCCTTGTCCTATTCGAACTAGGGGTGGAGGGGCACGCGGCCCAGCCCTGGCTGCCTCTTCTCTTCTTCCACTAAGGCCCACTAAGGCCGATATCCAAACATAGGCTTCCAATATATCAATCTTTATGTCTCGACCATTTCGATACTCCTCGTCATGTCCGTGATCACATCCGGGACTCCGAACAACCTTCGGTACATCAAAATGCATAAACTCATAATATAACTGTCATCGTAACCTTAAGCGTGCGGACCCTACGGGTTCGAGAACAATGTAGACATGACCGAGACACGTCTCCGGTCAATAACCAATAGCGGAACCTGGATGCTCATATTGGCTCCTACATATTCTACAAAGATCTTTTATCGGTTAGACCGCATAACAACATACATTGTTCCCTTTGTCATCGGTATGTTACTTGCCCGAGATTCGATCGTCGGTATCCCATACCTAGTTCAATCTCGTTACCGGCAAGTCTCTTTACTCGTTTTGTAATACATCATCCCGCAACTAACTCATTAGTTGCAATGCTTGCAAGGCTTAAGTGATGTGCATTACCGAGAGGGCCCAGAGATACCTCTCCGACAATCGGAGTGACAAATCCTAATCTCGAAATACGCCAACCCAACATGTACCTTTGGAGACACCTGTAGAGCTCCTTTATAATCACCCAGTTACGTTGTGACATTTGGTAGCACACAAAGTGTTCCTATGGCAAACGGAAGTCGCATAATCTCATAGTCATAGGAACATGTATAAGTCATGAAGAAAGCAATAGCAACATACTAAACGATCGGGTGCTAAGCTAATGGAATGGGTCATGTAAATCAAATCATTCAACTAATGATG